CCAACTAGTCTAATTCTGTTGTTTTTTTTTGTGTAATGTTTCTATATATTTTTTAATGCAACAGTGTGTAGGTGGATGAAAGTGAATCCTAGTTCTTGAGAACCCTTAATGATTTTATTGTTATTTATAAAGGTTGAGCAGATTGTAACAGTTGTAGTCACTTTTTTGTGGATTACTTGATGATGCCCACTCTCATTCAGACACTACCTCCTGCGCCCCCCTCCCCCCCCCCCCTGGTGATTTGAGTTTGAGACCCTTGATCTAATGAATACTTTGGATTTTACCATTTTAATATAAAAATAATTTAAATTGCGTTACAATTTTTTTAAATTAGTATGTTAGGAGAAAATTTGGCAAAAATTGAGGTGGGGGGGGGAGGAAAATAATGCAAACTATTATTTTTTTAAACCGGGTCTCTAAAAATTGTGGTTCTAAAAGATCGCTTAATAATTTGTTCTTAAAGATTGTTTAGTTGGTTGTTATTGATCGCTTAATTTGTTGTTTAAGATCGTCCAGTTTTTGTTAATGATCGCTTTATTTTTTCTTAAAAATCGGTTAGTTTGTTCATAAAGATCGCCTGGCTTGTTGCTAAAGATCGCTTAGTTTGTTGTTAAAGATCGCTTAGTTTTTCACAAAGATCGCTTAGTTTGTTCTTAAAGATCATTGATTTTTTTCCTTAAGATCGATTAGTTTGTTCTTAAAGATCTTTTAGTTTGTTCCTAAAGAACATTTAGTTTTCTGTTAAAGATCACTTAGTTTACTGTTATAAATCATTTAGTTTCCTATTAAAGATCATTTGTTTTGATCTTAAAGATCATTTAGTTCGGTCTTAAAAATCGTTTAGTTTGTTCTTTAAGATCGTTTAGTTTGTTATTAAAGATCGCTTAGATAGTTCTTAAAGATCGCTTAGTTTGTTTTAAATATCGTTTAGTTTGTTCATTAATGTCGTTTAGTTTGTTGTTAAATATCATTTAGTTTATTCTCAAAGATCGCTTAATTTGTTCTTAAATGTCGCTTATTTTGTTGTTAAATATCGCTTTCACTGAGTATTAAATGACCGAAAACCTGAGTCACTTTCGTCCGGATGGCCGAAAGTCTAAGTCACTTTCGGCCGAAACCGAAGAAAAACCGAAAGTTAACTTTTCTCTTTCGGCCGAAACCGAAATTAAGTCGAAAGTTAACTTTTCAGTTTCGGCCGAAACCGAAACTTGGCCGAAAGTGATAAAATGGCCACTTTCGGCGCCGAAGCCGAAGCCGAAATTCGGTCGGCCTCTAGTAAGGATTTATTTAGACTTCATCAATCATACAAATTTAACAAAACTCTTTAAGCAAGACAATTTTATTCTAAGTGTGAAAAAAAATGTACATGCATAAATTATGCAAATCAGGCTATCTCATTTGCAAAAATTCTGAGATTCAGTTTGATTCATAAAGATTGCATTAGTTCATTCAATTCTCTACAAGAATTTGTTTTGTTTGATATTTGTAAAGTAATTAGTTTGTTTTTTATCAATTATTTTGCAAAGTAAGTGCAAGGCTTGTGAAAAGGGCTCTGTGTTTTTGGAACAGAAAATCCAAAAAGGCTCCGTCTCATGAGGGTTAAAAATACTGAATATTTTTTTTTAATTTTCTGTAGTAATGTTAATCAGTAATGTTAATCAGTAATTGTTAAGTTTAATTTTCTTCAATTTTTTTTTTTACAGATGCTGATTAATTTTCTTTAGGTATCAAAGATTGTTGCCATTGCTCTTATACAAAAATCATTCTTTTTTTTTTTTTTTTTTTTTTTTTTTTTTTTCTTTTTATTTTTTTTTTTTTTTTTTATATAAAAAATTTTTTTTTTTTTTTTTTTTTTTTTTTTGCATTGCTCTGATTTCTGCAATTATCTTCTTGATTTTCTTCCAGAGTTCAGTATGTGGTAAAATTATGGAACAATTGGGCCAACAGTCTGTCCTTGAGCATAATCGAAGAGTAACTATTATAAGTCAAGACAGCTTCTATCGAGACCTCACTCCAGAAGAACACAAACGCGCTGACAAAGGAGGATATAATTTTGATCATCCTGGTAATTTCTTTTACTCCATCTCGGGTCCGACCTTGCCGCCGAGTGTTTACATTTTATTTGGGACTTAAATGCATTAAGAAAAGTTAGTTCAGAGAAAGAAAAATCATCTGGCGACATATGGATGATACAAAAGGATTCTAGTGCTGGGGAGCCAGCAAAGAATTTTGTGTGGGATTATGTCATCAGCTTCAGGTTGTTCTCCACTGTGGATAGAAATAGATTGATGAATAGTATCACGTATTTTCCCAGACATGTTTTCAATGTTTATGTTTAGCTTGAGACCGTTGCTTCAAGACGTAAGTGTTTAAGTCTATTGCAAGACAACAAGCTCAGAAATACCTTGATAATAATAATAAAGTTCATTTGGAAATCACGCTTCATCCCCAAAGGCTCGAAGTGCGGTACAAAGCCAACCATAAAAGAAAAATGAAAAAAATCTATATTTTACCACATTGAAATACAAAACGCAACATTACAAAAACTACATACGAGAATACCCATTCTAAGTCTTTCATCCCTTGCAAACATAAGCAACACAGGCAAATCTAGGAGATAATAGCTAGCTGGAAAAGATGGTAGACACCATCACCCCAGCAGGTGTTTGCAAAATAGATGTGTTTTCAATTTTGTTTTGAAAGACTCCAGTGTCTGACTGTTTCTGAGAGCGTCAGGAAGTTCGTTCTTGATATACTATGTTATTTATATGGAAAAATTACCCCTGGGTAATTTATCTAAAAAATTACCTATCTAAAAAATTAACCATTGAGTGAGACAGCAAAGAACCTTAACACTTTCTTACTATTGAGCTTTTTTATCAAATCTTTCACAGACGCCTTTGACGTAGAATTGATGCGTAACACTCTGCTTGATGTAAAAGCTGGCAAAAAAGTAGAACTGCCTAAGTGGGATTATGTTGCTCATAAAAGGTAGTCTTTCAATAGTTTAAACATATCATTAGATTAGACGTATTCATTTAGGTAATCTTTCAATAATTTAAACTTATCATTATATTAGACGTATTCATTTAGGTAATCTTTCAATAGTTTAAACTTATCATTAGATTACACCCATTCATTTAGGAATAATAATTTCCTTGGATTATTATTTAAATTAAAAGAGGCTCTATTTACAATGCAAATGTTTTTGAATGATTTGTTGATGATATTACCTAAGAAAATAGCACACTACTTTAAACAAAAATTCTGCTTAATTTCATTTTTAAAAATGTATTGCGGCTTTTTTACCTTACCACTAGTCATTCAGGCTTTCAATTTGATGGCTTCTAAACCGTAGCACTAATTATTCAGGCCGTCATTTTCCCGCAGTTGATGTCTTTGGGCAGGTTTAAATTTAGGAATGGGTTTCCAATCAAAGTAAAAAACTAATCAATGTAAACTTTGATTTTAGTCCTTTTATCGAATTCCCTTACCGGGATTTTTAAAAAAACGAATAAAATATTTTAAAATGATTGTAGTCGTTGAACAAGGTTTTGTATTAAACAACTAATTATTTTCTTGAACATGAAATTTTATTAAGCAAATAATTCAAAGATTATACATTGTAACCCTTTTTTTAATACCCCAAAAGAATCTAAATATGTGAAACCATTGCTATCGCTTATACTAAAATCACATAAAGGACACATTAAATTATTTGATGCATTCATCTTTATCATCTAATACTCATTGCCGTATGCATGGAAGATCATTAAATTGCAGAACAGCCGAAGGAATAACTGTTATACACGGCGCAGATGTTGTCCTGTTTGAAGGGATCCTAGTCTTTTACTTCCCGGAGATACGGGATCTGTTCAACATGAGGTTGTTTGTTGACACAGATCCGGACACGCGACTGTCACGACGAGGTAGGACTTGTCCATACTATCTTTTAAATGTTAACTTTGAGTTTCTGCCCAGAACATTATTACCAGTGACATAATACATTATTGTTAGTGACATTATACATTAAACTAGTCACATAATACATTACTAGTGACAATACATTATTAGTAATGAAACAATACATTATTATTAGTTGCCAAATACATTATTACTAGTGACATAATACATTATCACTAGTGACATGATACATTATTACTAGGGACATAATACATTATTACTGGAGGTTCACCACTTTTCATAGATCCATCTTAAGGCATTGCATGAGAGTTAAAGCTTTGAAACTAGAATTACAAATAGCTGTACCATATTATAAAAGTACATTGCACATAGAAATTTTAGAGTAGAAATTTTATATGAATTTTTATTTTTTTCTTATCTTTGGCTCTAAATGTTTTCGTTGATTTACTGTAATTGAATCCACTGTTCAGTATCGTCTTTCAAGAGTTGAGTTTTTAAAACGAACAGAAATAATTTAATGACATTGACAACTCTATATTATTACATTTTTTCTTCACTAGTATTACGTGACATAGAGGAAAGGGGTAGAGAACTCGACCAGATTCTAAATCAGTACATGACCCTGGTTAAACCAGCATTTGAGGAGTTTTGTTTACCTGTAAGTCTCTGTTATGAAACGGTTCTTACCAAGTTCTTTAGCTTTGCTTTGTCTAGGGGTTATTATATTAATTACACAAACCATTGATTATTAGAATAAAGTACTGTATATTTATTAACTCAACTAAACTACATTGTCAACTGCCATTACTCCATCACCACAAACTCTACAACAACAATACGTCATTTCCCGTAATGCACAATACGTGACAAAGTACCAAACATTTAATATTAACATCTACCCAAATACTCTCCAAAAACACGCAATCACAATATACATTCAAGTTCTTAACAGTCTTGATAATGTCAACCAATGACCAGATTTTTTACCGTGTCTCTATTTTAAACTTTTAAACATGTTAGAGTTAAATGAGAACTGAAGTAAAGGAATAATATATTTGAGATTTACTGGAGAGTTTTAAGCCTTCATTCATTTTTTTTTTTATAGATAAAAGATAATTAGATCTTAATTGTTTACAGCCATTATTAGTTTTCTAACAAACTTATAAATCGAACTGTAAATGATACGTTTTTAGCTCATTTTGTCTTCATGAGTTGAAAAGAGAGTGACATTGGCAGGGTTTAGATCAGCAGTTATCAACTTATGGTCCATATGCCAGGGGTCGATAGAGAACTTCAAAAGTTTTTTAAATTTTTGTATTGTAACATTTTTACCTTATTAGTAATATTGTACCATCGTTCCTTTTTAAAATTTATAAATTATTTCCTGGGATCGGGCTCTTTTCCTAAAATCACCTTACTGTGGCTATACTACAGCTGCATCAACAAAATTATTATTCATTCGATAGATGTCAGCCATGAATGATAAGTAAAAATAAAGCTACAAATTATAAAAGATGGATGTGTCAAATGTTATCAGGGGGGTCAGGGCACTAAACAGGTTGAGAACCACTGGCTCAGAACTGCAACTGATAAATTTTTAATCTCAGCACAAACAAATTGATCTTAGTACCTTTGGATCTAAGATAAAAAAATTTGTTGAAATAATCAATTCACAGACCAAGAAATATGCAGATGTCATTATACCCAGAGGTGCAGATAATGTTGGTATGTTGATTCAATGATACATGCAACTAAGTGGTGCACATAATATATGCTTCTCTGTCATGTTAGAGGGCAGATCATTTGGGCTCATGGACTTTTTGGCTTAAGATTTTAAAATTATGGACATTTTAATTCTAATAAAGGCTTTGTCGATGATTTTTAGTATAATTTTTTTCTTTTTCTACACTTTATTTAAAGCAATTTTTTTAAAAAATCTGTTAAAGCTTTGATTATGGTAAATCAAATATTTTTTTATATTGGCAATTTTTATAGAAGTCTTAATCTTCAAAATTATGTTTTTTTTCCTTGGACAGTTGCTATAGATTTAATAGTCCAACACATCCAGGAGCTGATGCGGCCCAACAGGACAAGCAGAAGGCAGAGGAACAACTCTGACTCCTTTGTTGGTCGGCCTCACTGAGATTTCTTTGCGATGCGTCAGTACTGTACATATCGGCTGAAAACATTAGTCTTTGTGCCATAAACAGAGTTCGACTTATGGTATCTCTTAATGTGCTGTAAGTAGAGTTATAGGCATTGCTGCAGTTGATCAGCTGTTGCTGTAAATGATCCGAAGACATTTTAGTTGTTTTTTTTTTAAGGACTGGAAGTTGTAGGCATGATCTTTTCTAGTCTTTTTTTATTTCAATAATTTCACTAATTTTTTTAAATTGTATTCAGAATCAAATTAATGCATTTTATTCTGACTTGAGCCAAATAGATTTGTCTATGCAGCCCTAATTGCTAAAAAATGTGTTGACATGCCTACTCATGATAGTTGAGATGATGGATTAGATGATACTTAAGTTGCAATCTTTAAACTAATAAATGACATTTAAAGTGTGTAGGTGTTTGTTATTTAGTATGGGAATTTTTTTTATTTCCCATCCAGGTGATTGTAAATCTGTAGCAAAATGCTACTTTTACCTATTTATTCACTTAAAAAAAGACTAACATAATATTACATCCAATGCTGAGATAAGCTTCAAATATTGAAGTGCTGCCACTGTCTCTCTCTTCTGTTCACAAATAATTTTGAGCTGTGTAATTGAATTCCATAGTCAGATAATGTGATTTTTTTTTTCTTTTTACCACACTTGGCATCATTGACTTGGTATCAATTGATAATGGCCGCATTTTGTCTATTGATGAGAAAGACAAAATGTAATTGAATGAGATGTATCAAATATTTGTTTCTTTCTTAATTCTGTAGTAAGATAACAGTTCAATTAAAACAGCTTGTTCTTCTGATTACACTTTGCAATCTATTGGATCTACATAAAATGCAACATTGCATGTATTAAATATGTTAGAAATTGATTTTGTTTTCATATATTTTTAAAGGAATATTATGGTTTGTATTAATGTGAAAAATGATGATTACAATTACGTTCACATACTTTGACTTTGAGCCAGCTCATCCGCCCAATCAAAGGCTGTGAACAGGATGCAGTGAACCTCAAGCATTGAAACAAATGCCCATTTTTAAAGTGTTCTACAATGTACGGATGCTCTCAGTGGTTCAGGAGGGGGGTCTTCACGTGCAGTTTTTTCAATTCTTTCACCGTTTTGTTCATGACAAGTCCCTATCAACACTTGTGTTTGATTTGAGGACACATTTTAAATCATCAGTTGTACCGTACACCCCACCTTTCACAATTGTGGGTCCTAACTACAACTTAATCTAAATATAGCCATCAGCGTCAGTGTTTCAAAGTTTTAAATTCACCTTGCTTTGGTAATAGTAAATTCTACTGTCATTATTTGGATCTTGTAGAAACTTCATCCTTGAAAATGGCAGAATGAGACTTGTTGGAAAAATCAAATATTGCCCAGTGCACTTCAAAGTGCAAGAGGGTCAAACAATCTCTTTCCTTGATATTTAATCCAACATAACATATCATAATAAGGCTGTGGAGATTTAACAATGATAAGGTCATACAAGAGGGGCATTTTATTTTTCATTGTTGACTGATAAAAGTAAAAGCCATCGCAAATTATTTTAACTACTGACATTTTACAGCTCTAATTCTGGCCCTGAAATGACTCCACTGCTATAATCAGCACCCTGGGGGGTATCAAATATGTGTGTGGTAATATCAGCACCCTGGGTGATACCAAATATGTGTGTGGTAATATCAGCTTCCCTGGGTGATACCAAATATGTGTGTAGTAATATCAGCACCCTGGGTGATGTCAAATATTTGTGTGGTAATATTAGATTTAATACTTTCATTTTTTCTAAAAACATTTTATTATGATGTTATATTAGTTTTAATATATTTTAGAGCAATGATTACAAATAATACAAAGAAAATTTTTGAAGATAAGAAATACCTGGTACAAATATAAAAGTAACCAAAATAGTACAACTCATGAAAGAAAAATTAATTGAAAGAAAATTTAAGTTCTGTTCAAAATATCATCTTATATTATACAGGCACATGTTCCAAATATCATGGTGTACAGGCACATGTTCCAAATATCATCTTATGCAGGCACATGTTCCAAATATCATGGTGTACAGGTACATGTTCAAAATATCATGGTGTACAGGCACATGTTCCAAATATCATCTTATACAGGCACATGTTCCAAATATCATGGTATACAGGCACATGTTCAAAATATCATGGTATACAGGCACATGTTCAAAATATCATGGTGTACAGGTATATTTTCAAATTATTGTGATGGCTTTCTATTTGGGACATTTCTTGAAAGTAAAATATTGAAAGATTACTGCAAATAGTGGAAGGCTCTGGAGTATTTAAAAAAATCCTTTATATAACTTGATTTTTTTTAAATGTAATTTTTTTTTATATGGCAGATAAAAATAAAGAAAAGTGTCACAAAATATTTTTCGTCCTGCATTTCAAAAATTAAAATCAATTTTTTTTACACATTTTTTGTTGCAATAATATTGCTCTTACTAAGCGACATTTAAGGTTTGTCATTTCATACCTAATTTTATACTCCACAGCAATGGCTTGAAATCATTTTTAATCATGTTTCTTGTGTGAAGTTCATTTGCTCTCTGCATCACATTGTTTGCATGCTGAGTGACAAACCTTTCTCTGCCCTCATCATAAGCATTAAAGAAACCCCCAAACTTAATTGTTATGTTAATTGTATGTCCATTGATCTGATTAGATGTTTATGTATTTAGATATGTGCACAATAAATAAATCTTGGTCCGTATTACGCTGTAGGTTGTGAGGTTACTTTTACAGCCAAATTAAAAGATTTGAATAGAAAGGGTTAATCTTTGAACTAAGAGTCCTAGTCATAGACATTACTCTAACCGTAAGTCAAACATGGGCAATATCAAAAGTGGATTTTTGGTGGCATTAAGCAGCTAGAAATTAGTTGTTTTTTTCTACTAGTAAGCTCATTAGTCATAGAAATAATTTAGCCGAGTAACAATCAAGATAACTTGATTAAAAAGCAAGGTAATTTCATAACATGAACAACTTTAATGAACACAATTTTTAAAGGAATCATTTAGCAATATAGTTACACTTTCAGCTACCGGTACCATGAATGAAAGTATGTGAAATTACGAGGTGCAGGTAACAACTGACGTACTTTGAAAGCAGAGGTGCTTCTACGGCCAGGGTGAAGGGTACTGATGTTATTGTCATTTAACAAAATATTTGATTGATATAGGGTCTTGTAAAAGTCAAATTATATCTCAAAAGTAAAAAAATACAGATGTAAGTGGAATGCAAAACTTCTTGTGACATCAACTATCAAAGAAATGCCGATCATGCCTGTTAATATCATTCTTTGGTGGAGACGGCTTGAAATGGACCCATAGCAATTAATCATTAATTTTTTTGTTCTTATTTGTTCATCCACTATTTACAATCTGGCAACATTATTATTTTTAAAAAAATTATTTTTTTTGAATACAGATTTCTGTGTTCTAGGTCTAGTGCAATACTATGAATCTGAACATTGATTTTATCTAGAAAATAAATATAGTTTGAAAAACAATTATATTTTTAAATTAAAATTATCAGAATTTAATCGTTTTCTGAGTAGTTGTGTTTTTTCAACGAATTGGGTTTTTCCTTAAATTATAAACCAGGGTATCTCAAATATTTACGATGTTCAAAGTTGAAGAAAAAAAATGTATGTACTGCCATTTCTCATTTATTATTTCAGACTGGATATATGTACTTCTGGTTATCCTTGTTACCTTTACATACCAGCTGAAACATTGGAATGCACCATAGTCGCAGTATCGTTTTTATAAATAATAATACTGTGGTGCTATGAATCTTAAATTATCTTATGTATATGTACAACCAGTGCAGTTGTGAAGTTAAATACCGTAAATGATATACCATGGGTTGACAAGCTACGGCATGCCTGCCAGAAAGAAGTGGCATACTCTGCGATTTTCAGTGGCGTTCAAAGACCACAAAATAAGTAACTAAAAATTTGTTTCATAATAATAATAATAATTAGACTCATAATGGTGTTTGTTGGAGTAGAGATCCTAATTTGGAACAGTCTTAACAAAACCTGGGTGGCCGAGCGGTCTAAACTGTCTCAAACGAAGTAGCTGGTGGTCTGGAGTTCAATCCCCACCAAAGCCATCCCAAGCAACCCTGGTGGATGGGACTCGTTAGCCTTGGACGGCAACCTGTCTAAGAGAAGGCAAACTCTGAATTTAAACCAGGAGCCAGAATGATTAACAAATTGATCGTGGGCCCCTCAAATATAAGAAGAAGAAACCTCCTGTATACCATGCACTTTAGTCATTTTCATAAGCTTTGCTGAAACTCAATTAAAAGTTGGATTCAAGGGAAAAAATGTGAAGAAGAATTTAACTTAAGAAAGATTGCAGATATTTAAAAAATTATTATTTTGGAGAGGTAAATATTGCCTCTAACTATAAGGTGGTTCTCGACAGTCACATTTCTAAATCTATGGATTTAATAGTGTATCCAGTGAGTTAGCAATCCTGAGAATTTAAGACTTGGAGAAATGTAAAATAGATATAAGTTTGTACAAATACCAGACTAGATGGCATTGATTCCAGTTGTTAAGGGGTTAAAATTTTGTTCAATCTCAAGTACTTGTAATGTTTTCATTAAAAAATGAAAAAATGTAAGTCACTTCAAAGGTAAATCTCTTTTTTGAAGAAAAAACAATATTATTCCTGACACTGAAAGAGTCTTTTTTGATTAGAGTTAGAGAATTCTTTCTAACACTGAAATCTTTGGAAAATGAAAAAGCTACATATAATATAGATCATTATTTTTTTTACATTTCTCATCATTTCATTTTCCTCATACAAACTGGGGTGTCACTAAAACTAAATATTTCAATAATGGCTAGTTGACATGCCAACTGCTTTACTTTCCCTAACTATCTTATTAATTTCTCATATTTCGCCTCCACATGATAATGAGGCCCAATGTTAGTATGTTAGGATTTTTTAAATTCATCATTCTTCACCTCCTTTTAATGATTACGCCCTATGATATGATTGGAAAAAAGGAGAACTTTGGTCTGGACACATGTTTATAATTCATTTCTTCCTTTTGTGGTTTTATTAGACAACTTTAAAAGCTCTGTGAACTTGATCACTATGCTCTTTGAACTTGATCACTATGCTCTGTGAACTTGATCACTATGCTCTGTGAACTTGATCACTATGCTCTGTGAACTTGATCACTGTGCTGTGAACTTGATCACCATTCTCTGTGAACTTGATCACTATGCTCTGTGAACTTGATCACTGTGCTGTGAACTTGATCACCATTCTCTGTGAACTTGATCACTATGCTCTGTGAACTTGATCACTATGCTCTGTGAATTTGATCACCATTCTCTGTGAACTTGATCACTATGCTCTGTGAACTTGATCACTATGCTCTGTGAACTTGATCACTATGCTCTGTGAACTTGATCACTATGCTCTGTGAACTTGATCACTATGCTCTGTGAACTTGATCACTGTGCTGTGAACTTGATCACCATTCTCTGTGAACTTGATCACTATGCTCTGTGAACTTGATCACTGTGCTGTGAACTTGATCACAATGCTCTGTGAATTTGATCACTGTGCTGTGAACTTGATCACTATGCTCTGTGAACTTGATCACTATGCTCTGTGAACTTGATCACTATGCTCTGTGAACTTGATCACCATTCTCTGTGAACTTGATCACTATTCTCTGTGAACTTGATCACTATGCTCTGTGAACTTGATCACTATGCTCTGTGAACTTGATCACTATGCTCTGTGAACTTGATCACTGTGCTGTGAACTTGATCACCATTCTCTGTGAACTTGATCACTATGCTCTGTGAACTTGATCACTATGCTCTGTGAACTTGATCACTGTGCTGTGAACTTGATCACCATTCTCTGTGAACTTGATCACTATGCTCTGTGAACTTGATCACTATGCTCTGTGAACTTGATCACTATGCTCTGTGAACTTGATCACCATTCTCTGTGAACTTGATCACTATGCTCTGTGAACTTGATCACCATGCTCTGTGAACTTGATCACTATGCACTGTGAACTTGATCACTATGCTCTGTGAACTTGATCACTATTCTCTGTGAACTTGATCACTATGCTCTGTGAACTTGATCACTATGCTCTGTGAACTTGATCACTGTGCTGTGAACTTGATCACCATTCTCTGTGAACTTGATCAATGTGCTGTGAACTTGATCACCATTCTCTGTGAACTTGATCACTGTGCTGTGAACTTGATCACCATTCTCTGTGAACTTGATCACCATGCTCTGTGAACTTGATCACAATGCTCTGTGAACTTGATCACAATGCTCTGTGAACTTGATCACTGTGCTGTGAACTTGATCACCATGCTCTGTGAACTTGATCACCATGCTCTGTGAACTTGATCACCATGCTCTGTGAACTTGATCACCATGCTCTGTGAACTTGATCACTATGCACTGTGAACTTGATCACCATGCTCTGTGAACTTGATCACTATGCTCTGTGAACTTGATCACTGTGCTGTGAACTTGATCACCATGCCCTGTGAACTTGATCACTAGTTCTAAGATGTGTAACATTCACTAGTGAGATAATTACCCTTCCGTCACACGGAAAGATTACGTGATGAATTCTTCTTATCTAGTATGTACATTTTTAAATGACGTAATTGATGTAGAAATTACATCCTGGTTGTATGGCCTAAACAGAAAATAATAAATTCACTCACATAAATGGTTGTTATTACTGGACATAACATTGGAATGACAATTTGCGAATGTGTTAGCATTCATCATTGTTGTGGTAGCTTGATGAAATTTTCACATGAATCTCTTCAAACTTTAACGTTAATGAACTGTTTGGAAAAAAAATAATTAAACTTAACTGTTTTGGGTAACTCTTTTTAACAATCTTTCAAAGCAGACATTGGTTTATCTATTTGCAGATGCTTAAGATAGTTTTGCACTAACTCTGTGTTATCAGTGTTCATGATTTAAAAATTAACTTATGATTGTGTTATTGGTGTTAACTATTTACAAATTGATCTATGATTAACTCGTTTATTTTTTAACAAATACAAATTCCTCTCATAACAGTTCCATTCATCCTTTGAAAATGACGGAAATGTGTGAATACTATGAATTGATCAAAGTGAATTTGAACATATTTTATGTTAAAATGGTGAAAGTATTGCATATCAGTCCTTTTGACTTGAAGAGTTTAAAGCAAAAGTTGTTATAAATAGCCTACAATCACTACACTGATTTTGAAAAATATAATAATGATTTCCCCATTCACCCTGCTCAAACTGTCACAAGGTTTCATAATAATTTTTTAATTTTGAGAAAATTATAGTATTTTTAGTTAGGGAGATAAATATGATGCCTATGCCGCACTATGCATTTTTTCTCCTGAGTCGAAAGTTTGTAAAATTCTTTTCTGATTAAAATGCTCTATAGACTTGATACTAATTTATTTATGGTCTCGTCTTTTAGTCATTTTAAATGACAAAATGTCTAACCTCAAGCTCCCACATTTCCAGTCTCAACAAAATGTCAAAATAACTTGAATTGAAAGAGATAAGATAGTTTTATCATTTATAACGGCTTACATTATGGCAATGGGGTAACTAGGACAACCGAGCCACATAAGATAGTTTTTATCATTTATAACATGGCTTACATTATGGCAATGGGGTAGCTAGGCCAACCAAGCCATGAAATAAGATGAGACCAGAGAGGAAGACAATGCCCGAGTTAAAATATGGGGGAAAGGGCTTATTGAGCCACTCCCAAGAATTTTTTTTGATCCATCAAAATGCATGGTTGCATTTTGGGGCATTACTGGAGTAAGTTTTGCATCATTCTGCACTAAAAGAGAGAGCGGAATAATCAGCTTTTTACTACCCTAAAATAAATTTCACTTTTAGATAAGGTTACATTATTGGACACATCATTTGGTATCATGGGGCACATCTTTTGGTGGCATATAGCACATGATTTGGTGATATGGGGCACCCTCATGTGGTGGCATATAGCACATGATTTGGTGACATGGGGCACATCTTTTGGTGGCATATAGCACATGATTTGGTGACATAATGGGGCACATCTTTTGGTGACATGGGCACATCATTTGGAAACATTATGGGGCACATCATTTGGGGACGTAATGTGGCACATCATTTGGTGACATTATGGGCCACATCATTTGGAAACATTATGGGGCACATCATTTGGTGACGTAATGTGGCACATCATTTGGTGACACCCCCATTCCCCAATGCCTATGACACCTGAACACAAATATTTTCCCATAATAGGCCCATGTCCATGTATTTTAATTTTTACAGTGGAACCTGTTTACGAACAAGTTTTCTGA